GGTTTGTCATATATCGCCTTTATTATGTTGAGGTACACTCCTTTTATACTTAATTTGTTGAAAGTTTTTATCATGAAAGGATGTTAAAATGGACATATATAAATAAATATAAATGTATAAATGTAAATATATAAGGAAAATATTAACAAAACTAAAGAGAGAGACAGATAGCAATGTAATAATAGCATAATATTAGTATTGACAATAATAACTGCTTTTAACAATGGGTAGTAGAATCATCCAGAAAGAAAACCAATAAACACTGAACTTGAACTGTTTTATATCAAGTGGGCTTAACAGACATATGTAGAACATTTTCATCCAATAGCAGAATATACAGTCTTCTTAGGTAAAAACAATATAATATTCACTAGGACAGATATGTCAGTCCACAAAACAAATCTTAAAAATTTAAGGCTAATGTTACATCAAGTGTATTTTCTGATAACAATGGTTGCCGTTGCTCAGTCACTAAGTCATGTCCGACTCTTCATAATTCCATGGACAGGCTTCCTTATCCCTCACCATCTCCTGGAATTTGCCCAAGGAAAACAATGGTATGAAACTAGAAATCAGTAAGAGGAGGAAAACTGGAAAATTCACAAATCTGTGGAAATTAACACATTCTTGACCAAGCAATAAGTCAAGGAAGAAATCAAAAGGAAAATCAAAATGTATCTTCAGGCAAGCAAAAACGGAAATACAACATATAAAAACAACACAATAAAAGCAGTTCTAAGACTGAAGTTTATAGCAATAAATCCCTATATTAAAAAAGAAAGATCTCAAACCATGTAATGTTACACTTGAAGGAATGAGGAAAAGAACATACCAAGTCCAAAGACAGCAGAGCATGTGTGTGCATTGTTTCAGTCATGTCTGACTCTGTGCAACCCTGTGGACCATAGCCCGCCACGCACCTCTGTCCACAGGATTCTCCAGGCAAGAGTGCCAGAGTGGGTTGCCATGCGCTTCTCCAGGGGATCTTCCAGACCCAGGGATCGAACCCACATCTCTTATGTCTCCTGCATTGGCAGGCCAGTTCTTTAACGCTAGCACCACCTGGGAAGCCCCAACTTATCAAGAATGAATTACAATGAGACAGACAATCAGAACAGACCAATGAGTCAATAACTAAAAACATTCCAACAAAAGCTCAGGACCAGATGGCTTCACTGGTGAATTATACTAAACATTTTTTAAAAAATTAATGCTAATCCTTCTCAGACTCTTTAAAAAAACTGAAGGGAAAGGAACACTTCCAATCTCATTTTACAAGGACAGCATCACCCTGATACTGAAAACAGCCAAGGACACCACAAGAAAAGAAAATCACAGGCCAATATCTGTGATGACTACTGATGCAAAAATTCTCAACAAAACATGTGTGTGCTCAGTTGCACAAACGTGTCCAACTCTTTGTGACCCTATGGATTGTAGCCTGCCAGGTTCCTCTGTCTATGGAATTCTCCAGGCAAGAATACTGGCATGGGTTGCCATTTCTTACTCCAGGGGATCTTCCCGACCAGGGGAAGTATTGGCAGGTGGATTCTTTTACCACTGTGCCACCTGGGAAGTCCTCAACAAAGTTATTATGTTGGTGCTAAAGTAATCGTGGTTTTGCATTGTTGAACTTTGCCATTTGATATTGGAATACGTTCTTAAATAAATGTGGTTGTGTTATACATCATTTTAATGTGCATTTCTCACTTCATATTTTTTGCTAATGACTTATTACTTGCTGTTTATGGCAAAAACCACTACAATACTGTAAAGTATTTTATACTTATTTTAGACTATAGAAATGATGCTGGAAAAAAGCAATTTTGAGCAATTTTTTGTTCAAAATGGCTCACAAAGCAGGGCAGAGAACTCGCCACAGCAACACATTTGGCCCAGGAACTGATAAGGAGTGGACAGTGCAGCAGTGATGCAAGAAGTTTGCAAAGGAGACGAGAGCCCTGAAGATGAGGAGCGCAGGGGCCCACCATTGGGAGTTGACCATGACCAACCGAGATCCACCACTGAAGCTGACCTTCTTACAACTACACAAGCAGTTGCTGAAGAATTCAGCATCGACCATTCTACAGTCATCTGGCATTAAGCAAATTGGGATGGTGAAAAACACGATAAATGGGTGCCTCATGAGCTGACTGAAAATTTAAAAATCGTCATTTTGAAGTGTCATCTTCTCTTATTCTGCACAACAGTGAACCATTTCTTGGTTGGATTGTGACGTGTGACAAAAAGTAGATTTTATACCACAACTAATGATGTGTTTCCCAAAGCCAAACTTGCTCCAAAAAAAGGTCATGGTAACTGTGGTCAGCATTTACCATAGTGATCTGCTGCTGGTCTGATCCACTACAGTTTTCTGAATCCTGCTGAAACTATTACATCTGAGAAGTATGCTCAGCAAATCGAAGAGATGCACCAAAAACTGCAATGCCTGCAGCACACACCAGTCAACACAAAGGGCCCAATTCTTCTCCACAACAATGCCCGACTGCATGTTGCACAATCAACACTTCAAAAGTTGAAAGAAATGGGTTATGAAGTTTTGCCTTACCCGCCATGTTCATAGCAGGTGAATATCAACCAACCACCTACCACTTCTTCAAGCATCTCAACAATGTTTTGAAGGCGAAACACTGCCACAGCCAGTAGGAGGCAGAAAATGCATTCCAAGAGCGTCAAACCCCAAAGCATGGATTTTTATACTACAGAAATAAGCTTATTTCTCACTGGTAGAAAAGTATTGATTGTAATGGCTCCTATTTTAATTAATAAAGATGTGTTTGAGCCTAATTATAATGATTTAAAATTCATGGTCCAAAACCACAGTTACTTTTTCCATCAACCTAATATTAGCAAACTGAATTCAACAGTACGTTAAAAAGACTATACACCTTGGGCACCTGGAACTTATCCCAGGGATGCAGGGATGGTTCAACATTCCCAAATCAATCAATATGATATAACACATTAACAAAATGAAAATGAAAAATTATATGATTATCTCAATAGATGCAGAAAAAGCATCTGAAAAAATTTAACATCCTTTTTCTTCACAAAGATCCCAATATGTTGGATGGTAAAATGCCTTCCAAATAATTTTTTTAAAGTGAATTACATTTCTTTATGAATAATAATACTTTTATTTTCATTTTAAAACTGGTATGTGGAAACTTCATCAGAAGACTTAACTGCAGAGATAATATAACACCAAAATAAGAAAAAAATAATCACTGCACCAGTTTTCCAAATGTAGTCAAGATTTTATCAACTCAATGGCTTTATTTAAGCTTGCCAAATGAACATAAACATTTTTTTTTAACATAAACATTTTACTGACAAGTTACAATTTACTTATGACGGGGGGAAATGATATTCATGGAAGTCTATTCTTCTAGTCTAAGGAATGAGAGATTTATTTTAAAGTTATGCAAATAAGCAACAAAGAAATGAAACTTCTAGAAGCAGTAGTGGTCTCAAATTAGCAAAAACAAAACGAACAGAATGTTAAAAATTTAGACAGGAAACCTACATATAAAAAAAACCTATTTCCAAAACTGGGAAATAAGGCTATAGGTCCTACATGACTGCATGAAAAGTGACTAGACATGCGGATGTCCTGAAGAAGGACCTGTAGGAAGTGAATGGGAGACTATATTTCTTTTTGGTACATATTACCAAATGGGATTCTAAAACAAAGTAAGGAGCCTGCACACAGAGCTGTCAGTCAGGCTAAAGCATCAAGTGCAAAGATACAAACTGTACTGCAATTCGTTTAGGGTTTATTTTGTTTTAATGACATCAGCTGAAGGACATGTCTTGTGAGTGCCAGCAAGCACGACTCAAGAAGCTCTCCTGGGTGTGGGTGCAGCCTGGCGGGTGGATTGGCAGTCACAGCAGCTCCAGGCCAAAAGGAGACAGCTGCTAACCTAATCCCTAATCTAGATTATTTTCAATTATCAAAATACCCAGGGGCTGAGGTCAGGACAATTTGGGGCTTAAAATTTCAATTCTTAGATTATGTGAAAATTCTTTCATGAAAAGAATGTCTCTGAACTTGGATTCATTTAGAATATTTTTTAACAACAAGAGCCCTTCAGGGCTCACTGATAAAGAGCAACAGATGTCCCACTTGTTAGCGGCATCATAAATTAGGCTTCCTGACACTCAACCACTGCCTCTCTCTACAGTTTGCAGGCTTCCTGTCTGATGCCTAACGTGTGCTGAATCCAGGTGTGTCTTCACAGGCACAGGCTCTGGGCTGGAGCAAATTCTAAATGAAAGGGTGACCCATGCGTCACATGCAATGTCAAGACCATGCAGCCACTTCTCCCACCAAGAGGGTGAGAAGGAAGCTGGTACATCTTTCTCTGTGAAGACACAGTTGGAAACTTTACTTCTGGTTATAATTTATAAGCAGTAAATAATTCCTGGAAAATGATATAGCTTATTAGACATCATGTCTTGAAAGATAAGATCATCTGGGAAATGTCCAAAGTGGGATATAATAAGATTCCAATTCATTAAAAGAATCAACAGATGCAGACCGGCGTGAAGATGTTAACCATGGCTGTTTGGGGACATGGAGTCAGGACGACATCTACAAGTAAGCCAACAAAGGGGTTTTAAAGTCAAATGAGGAAGAAGGCTGAAACAGACGCTTTTCCTCTTGATGTGAGTCTGGGTCAAGAACCCCCAGAGAGCCTCTCCTCAGATGACGTAACTCTGAAGGCTGGTCCAGAGGGTCCAGAGGCTTCACTCTGGTTTGACAGCCAGGCTCTGCAGCTTCTGCTTCTGTGCACACTGTTTCTGGAGGAAGCAAACTTACCTTGAAACCAAGTTGGGAGGTTTTAACATCTGAATTCTTTTAAAACTTTGGTACTTGATATGAAAGATTTATGTTATAAAGACAGAAGTTTTACTTCAATCTTTATAGAACTGATTAATACTGAAGATGTTAAGTGGTGGACTTACCCAGAAGATGACTAATATCTTCTCCACTGGTCAGGCTCATACTGTCTACTTCCTGCACCAAACAGATAACAAAACAAAAAATAAGAATTAAATTTCTCTAAAAATAAAACAGAAAAAAAAGACACATTTCTAAGTACGTACAAAAACAACATCTGAGTTGTATTTGGGCCAGAACTTTATTCTCTTTTTAGCTGTGGCCACCTGTCATTAAAATTTTGTTCCATAATTATTCATTAAAGTAGGAAGCAATTAATTAAGAGGCAGTCCTATTGGTAGAAGGAAGCACTGTCAGAACTGCTCCCCTCAACTCCAGGGCCACCGTCTGCACGGCGTCTACATGGCCACTGCTGCCAGGGATGTTTGCAAATGGCCCTTCCTGTGCAGATGGCGCCTGGGATGTTCTGCCAAGAGCAGGAAAGCGCGAGGGTGGCTCCCTCTGCAGCAGAGCCCAAGGCTTCCCTATCCCCGCCCTGGGGACTGCTGCCCACTTTCTGGCATCGCTAGGGTCAGAAAAGAACCATTCTACAAGTGAAACAGGTGACGGCTTTTCACATTTAAAACGTGACACTTCTCCAGCAACAGGGATGGGCAGCCTTGCCACCCGCACCCCCGGAGGGCGACAAGAGAGGGCCACAGCAGTGGCCAGACCGAGGTTTCCAGGCAGCACCTTTGTTATCACAGATGATCAGAGGCAGCTTTACAGCAGCCCAGGCCTCCTAGGAATCACCAAGAAGTGAAAACCTGAAGAAATCACAGGCAAATTTGTAGCTACTAACTGTGGAATTTAACACATCATTTCTCACCAACAGCACGTAGAGGTTAAACATTCTCACTTTAGCTGCCGGCTAGCATTTTAAAAGTTTCGAAAGCTTTGATGTTCACCCCTTGGTGAATAGAGATTCACACCTCTGCTGGTCCCAGGTCCCCACCCCTGTCTCATTGGCTCCCAGCCCAGAAAGGCCCCCAGCCCAAATGGAGCGGCTCACCTCTCATCAGGTCAGGGGGCCTGGGGGCGGCCATGGGAAACCTGCTTGTTAACTCTGTCCTGAAAATAGTGACAACATTCTGCTTGGACTGCTTGAGTATCTCCGAAAAATACTATAATAGGGGCTCAAAAGTAGATAAAACACAGCAAAAAATGTGCTGGCTAAGTAAAGATGACATAATTCAACCACAGAAAGGAGATACAAAATGGATTACCTGACCTGAAAAAACATGTTCCTGTTCTAATAAAAGACTTAATGTACACATGCGTGCATATATAAAATATATTCTGTGTGGAAACATACATGCACTGCAAACATTTTTTGAGCACCTTCCATATCAGGCAACATGCAAGGACACACAGTCTGCTCGCTTGTATGTGTCCTGTCAGACCTTCCAGTTTCTCGCCCATCCCAACTCCTGAATTCCCAAGTCCGACACCAACGTAGCACTCACCACCTCACTCTGCCTCCAGCCTGAGGCCCCCAGAGAAGTGTTTCAGCTCCAAACCCTCTGGCACCAGCACCCCTGGACTTTGGAGGGGCTCCTGCAGCCCCCACAGAGCAGGGGTTTCCTCAGAGACCACCTAGCAACCGTCTGCCCTGAGCCTGCAGGGAAAGCACCCCAGGGTGGCGACCAGCTCAGGAGCCACCGGCACCCGACGTCCAGTCTCGCTCGCCGAGCTGATGGTCCCTCAGGAGGTTGGGCACTGGGACCCACGGGGCCCAGAGCTCAGGTCACCAGCGGAGTGGAAGGACCGGGGAGACAGCACATTCCCCCCAGGACCTCTGCTCTGCCAATGTGCTCGATGCCCATGAGCGGGCTGGACGACTCACCAGACACACAGGCCTTGCTGGCAATACGTCCTCGAACCCTCTCGTCAGCCCGAAGTGGTGGCGGCCCTGGCCTTGTGCTCCTGCAGGTGACACCTCCTCCCCTTGCCTCCCAGACCTACCCCTTCCCAGAACCTCAGACCCTGCCAGACCGACAGGGAGATCACCAAGCATCAGCTGCCTGCCTATCCTCTGGTCCAGGCCCAGGGGGGACACCAGGCCCTCAGCGCAACCTGCTCACTCTGACTTGCATCACTGACAGCACTCACCTGACCTCAGCCTCCACGGGCCTCGGCCATACACGCAGGACACGGTACATGGGCAGCCCCTGGGGCTCCGCATGGCCAGCCGCTCCCCAAGGGGCCGGCCATCTAGTTACGAGGGCTCCAAGATAAGACCCCTGCCCAGAGAGCCAGGGCTGACGTGAGGGTCTGCTCTTCCACCCTAAGAAAGTCTCTGTTTTCTAATTTGCCTGAGGAGAGATTTCCGAGACACCACCATCTGCCAACAGAATCTGAAGAGACTGTTCACTGTAGATCCAAGGAAAACAGTTCCTCCTTCGATGTTAACATGCCCCTGACAGCTCTGCTATCACAGGGAAGTAAGGCGGAAGCCAATATTCACGCCTCTTCTTCCTTGGCCAGCGACCAGAGGAAACTCTGGCCAGGCTGAGGACAAGGGCCTGGGGAGGGCTTGGTGTTGAAGCGATGGCTTCTGGTCGCGTGCTCAGTGATGGCAGAAACCACACAGGCCAAGCCCGCAGTCAGTGTGCTCTGTTTCCTTGCTTTACTTTATGATTAAAAAACAGCTTTAACTGAGGTATAATTGACTTTGCTCTTTAACAGGAAAAACTCTAATAGGACAGGTCAATGTAAGAATATTAAGAGAAACTCTAGAACCAATGCAGGAGAAGAGCAAGATCAAAAAGGGACGATGGTGACCTGTGGGCCCAAGATATCAGTCTCTTCCCTCCAAGTGAGAGGTCAGGGAGAGTGGGGGGGGGGGCTGCCTTTGCGGGATCGGAGGCAGCATCTACTTGTCTCGACTCGAGTGAAGTAAGAAAAGAAAGCCTGTAGCATGTACTGTTCTACAGGCTTCAAATTCAAGGCCCACCGGGTCCAAGTCCACCGGCGCAGGCAGCACAAGGCCTGCTCCTGACAGTGTGTCCCCAGGACACGGCCCGCCCCCCACACTCACCCTGCAGGCCCACCGTCCAGCTGCAGCAGAGCAGCAGCGGAGACCTCGGGGCTCGGAGCAGAAGGCCCCCAGGGCACAGGCTGACGCCCGTGCGGAGACCCAGGGCGGCGCAGGCGCGGGCAAGAGGGGGGCCCGGCAGTGGGCTGCTGGGCTTAGCCACACGCACCCACAGGCACTGCGGGTCACGGGGGTGCACGCCCCCCGCGGTCACAGCCTTGCCCGCCTGTGCCCGTCTGGGCCTGCAGCCTCCCCACGGGGCTTTCTGGAAGCCGGAGCCAAGGAGCGAGGAAAGTGGCTGTTCTCACCCACTCCCGGCCACTACAGGGAGACGGCCAGGCAGGCGCTCTGGGCGGCCTTCCCTCTGCCTGGGACGCGGGGGTGCGGGCTCTGGAGAAGGGCCGAGCAGGCCACATCAGGCCGGGCAGCGGAAGACAACTGCGTCTCCGCACGCTGCACCGCAGGCTCTAGGCGTGACCGACCACTGCCTCTCCCACGTCTGCCTGGACCCCACAGCAGCCGTGGCCCCGCCCCCACCCGTCTCCTCAGAGCCCGTCTCCTCAGAGCCTCGTAAGGTGCCGGAGGCTGGGGTGAGCCCCGCCTTTCTCCTTCCGGGCCTACACTTCTCCAGGTCCCTCTTTCTCTCAGAAACACCTTCCCCGGACTTCCCTGCTGGTCCAGTGGTTAAGAATCTGCCCGCCTATCCAGGGACGCGAGTTCGACCCCTAGTCTGGGAAGACCCCATGAGCCGTGACTCCTGAGCCTGCGCCCTGGAGCCCGCGCTCCACATCAAGAGAAGCCACGCAGCTCACCGCAACTAGAGAAAGCCCTCTCTCAGCAATGGTGACCTAATGGAGCCAAAACTAGGTAAATAAAATTCAAAACCAAAACGAAAACCACCTTGCCCTGGCTTCCCTGAGGAGGGCCGTCAGTCTTAAAGAGTTACCAGCTGAGATTCTCCACGCACCACTGCCCAACTGGGGGCCGTGTCCCTACACACGTGCGGGTCTGACAGATAGACAATGACCCCCTTCCCCCCCCACCCCCATGTCTGAGGGACTTGCCCTCAACTGTGAGTCCACAGCACTGGGGCCCCTCTGATTCCAGGGTGGACACAGACCTGCTAACATGTGGGGGCCCTGTCTATGGCTTAGTCCAGTTAACCTCAGCCCTTTCTCAACTGGAAATCCCCTCAGACACACTTGGAACCATGGAAAAGCTGGTATTTCCCGACTCTCGGTGACACTGCACTACGTAACTGTTCAGACTACTTGGCTGGCACCGGGGGGAGGGAATCCACACTTGCCCTGGACGGTGGCTCCTCAGGTGTGGGCGCCACCGACTGCTCAGCCAGCCCGCCCGGAGGCCTCAGGGGGCACTGGGAGGCGTGACTGGGGAGCAGAGGCTGCAGGGGAAGTGGGGTCAAAGGAACGGCTGCAGCAACTGTGACTAACTGTGGGGGCTTCTCTCTCCTCCAGGGGTGGGGCCTCATGGAACCCTACTGTGGACCCCAAATATCTGCTAAGTGTGCAGATCCTTCAAGAACCAGCAGAGGAACACAGCCTCACAGGCCACCCGCGGGACCAAGATCACACCGGGAGTCCTGGGTCACGCCACCATGATGACCGGCAGCAGTCACGCACAGCAATGAGAAGCCGGTGCAGGGCATGCATCTCACAGGTTGCAAAAGTAACAGGAAAATTACAGGTGTTTGCATTTGGAAAGGTAAAATTAGAAATCTTAAGTAATTCAAAAGTCTGTGCAGTTTGGCTCTCAAAACTGCAGAGAATCTGAATTTAAATACTGGTATGAGGTTTTTGGTGTATTTAAAGTATAAATTATATACAAAATTCATCCTTATGTTTTAAACCAGGCGTCGGTATCACACGTGTAGGAAAAGACTCACCATGCTTCCCAGGTCACATTCTGAGGCTCCTGGGTTCCTCACAGGGCGTAAGGAAATGATGATACTGGCAGAATGCTACTTTCTGCGTTATTTCATTAGAAGGATGTACGTGTATATAGGGGTTTCCCAGGGAGTGCTAGTGGTAGAGAACACATCTGCCAATGCAGGAGACTCGCGTTCCATCCCTGAGCCAGGAAGATCCCCAGGAGGAGGACACGGCAGTCCTCTCCAGTATTCCTGCTGGAGAGTCCCATGGACAGAGGAGCCGGGCGGGCTACAGTCCATGGGGTCACAAAGAGTCGGACACGACTGCAATGACTTAGCACGCACGCAGGCACATGTGTACGTAACCTTCACAGGAGCTGTCTTCTCAGTAAATTACAAAACTGGGTCTTGGGCAGCTGAATGAATTGACAGAAGATGAATCAGGTGGCAGGTTAGCGCCCAGCACGGCGACTGCCTCTGCACTTGAGCAAGTGGGGCTCCCAGACCTGTGTATTTTCCTGCTCACTTGCTTGCAAACATAAAACCTACTCCCAAGTAGCCACGAGGCAGGCCCAGAACACTGTGGGCCTCTTACCTGGCCCCTGGTCCCTCCAGTGCTGTCTGTGGCCAGCCCGGCTGCACCCGGAGCTTGTCCCGTGGGAGCTGGATCCCGGTCGGCCCCACCGTCCTGTGGGGACACGTGACGGCATGTCAGCAGCTACATGCGCCTGATCCCAGGTGGCAGCTGTTCTTAGGAGTGAGCAAGGTGGCCCTGGCTGGTAGCTTTCAAACTCCCGGCATCCCTTCCATCAGAGGGAAAGCCCATGAAAAACACAGGCTCTGGGGCCGGCTTTAAACCTATGCCCAGGAGAGTCTATGTTGGTGCCGAGCAGGGTGTTCTGTTAGGTGCCTCCAAGCAGGACCTCCTCGATCAGCTGCCCTGGGCAGTGGACCAGACACTGCTGTGCCCGGAGCCAGAAGCCCAGGTCCGCACTGCTGGCCACCAGCATGCAGGCTCTGGGACATAGTAGGCAGGCCTGACGGGGCCGCCCTCTCCCAGTTCTTCATGAACTTCATCAGCACGTACCCACTCACTCTCACTTCCTCTCCTAAAGTCCTACACCCTGATGCCCTCTGTTTGTCTCTATTGAAACGCAGCACTAGCAAGTCTAAGTACAAATTTAAATGTGATTTTAAACAGTATCTTGGTGCTTCCTGCTGCTCTATAAAGAAAGGAGGCCGAGCCTACCCAGTACTGGCCCCAGGGTGAACCAGCACTCGGTGGACACAGGCAGGCAGCCCCTCACTGGCCCAGCACTGTGACCCCTGCCCTCCACACACACTCTGACCCGGGCGTTGCCTGGGAGGTACCAGAAGTGTCACTGGCACAGCCCCGTCCAGGAGGAGGAGGCAGCATTTGGTACAGGTGACCGAGGGTGCTGGGCTGGGCTCAGGGGGCTGAGTTCTGCCACCAAGAACCTACATGGTGTTGGTGGGTCACTGGGGCCCAGGGGACTGAACCAAAGAACCTCAGGCTGTTAACAGTTTCCTCCATAACTGGGGATAACAAGACAGGCCTGCCCTGGTCTGCCATCTGTATGGACACTTCACCAGAGAGCAGTCACAGTTTCCTATCCCTACCAGGAGACACTGGATGGCAGCTTTAACACACCTGACATCTGAGAGACCACAGGCTGTTTTAGGGCTTTAAACAAAACCTGTCCCACACGTGGTCCTCCTGGGCCCGAGCACCCGACTCTGACATACAGAAAGAGCTCCAGGAGTTCACCTCCCAGCGACCACCGTGGCTGAAGCAGGCTGCACCCTGCCGTCTGCATGTCTGTAACCAGCCCGTCCCTGCTCTGTGGACAACTGCACCACTGACGGGAATCCTGGGCCAGGGCTCGCAGGGCACATGCTCTGAGTGATGCTGCCAAGAGATGCGGAGAACAAGTGATCCAGAGAGAACGCTGCCTATTTATTTTGCAAGGAAAAAACTTCTGCTTTGCTCCAGGCGGCAGGAGAAAGGTCACAGACGGCGAGAGGGTGAGGCCAGGGGGGTCTGTCCCACAGGAGCCAGGAGGGGCTGAAGCCGCTGCCCACGGCGCTGACCGGCAGGAGCAGGACGGGACCCTAGGCCTTCCTTACTGACCTCAGGGAGGGCACAACATCTCTCGGAGAGAAACGTGCAAGGCTGGTGTGAGAACCAGGACAATCTGGGGGGAAGGAATTGGGGTAATTCTCTAATTCCATCACTGCAGCACCAGGACTGCTACAGTGACATTTACAGATCCTACCCAAATGAGGACATGGGAACATGTTTAAACTGAACTCATTAACACAAGTTACTGAACAAGATGCCCGACTTCACTGATAACAAAGAAGCACCCAGTGAAGGAGACAAGCTTTTTCATCTATCAAATTAGTGAGAAAAGCAAGTATAAGTGATGTCAAGGATGCACCCAATGGACACTCTTAATCCTGCTGGTGAAGGTGTGAAGTGACCATGTGCTTTTAGAAAACAAGTTGGCAACGTGAATCTAAAACCTGATTATGTCTGGATCTGTAATTCTGTGAACAATGGAACTCTACTCTAAGGAAACACACACACAAAACCATCATGTGTAAAAAGAGAAAACCAGAAACTTGAGGCGGGGAAGCTATTAGGCGAACGCAACACGTGCAGAGGTGGGGATTCTGTTAAGGGGAGCCTGAGCACCGTGACTACGTGCTGGAAGGCGAGTGCCCTGGAGCAGAGGACACGCACCAAGTACACTTGCAGTGAGACAAACACAGAGAGACGCTGTCAACAGCAAACATCTGTTACCTTCAGGGACAGGTTCAAAGGTTGTTTCGGTTTCAATATAATTAAAACAAACCTTTTTAGTTATGTTCTTTGTATTCTGAGTTCTCCTCATATCATGAGAAAAAATAAACCCAAACCTTTGTCAAATAAAGACCCATCAACCCAGTGGTGCACACTCTAGGGCCTCCTGGAGCAGGGCCCTCAGCCTGCACCCTCTGCAGACTCCCTCCAACGGGGCCAGAACCTAACCGCTCAGCAGTGCACGAGCACCTCAGTTCTGCTGCTTCTTCCCGCTGCGCCAGCCTCCCTGAAGCTGCACGCAGGGTAGAGGGGCCAAGACCCACCTGTGTGGTGTGGACGCCAGTGCCGCCTGCTGACGATCGGTCTGCTCTCCTTCCCACAGGCTTTGCACACAACTGACTTCAGGGTGTGGAATCTGGTGACGTGACACCTCTGCAGACAGACAGGACGGCAGAGCAGCGTCAGACACAGCAGGTGCTCAGGAGACGCGGTGACGGGGAGGGCAGTCTGGGGCCGCAGGGCCATGGGGAGTGAGACTGCGCCTGCCTGCCACACCGCAGCGGGCAGGAGTCCCAGAAGCTGGTCCTCGCCTGCATGACCTGACGGTGACAGCGGCGGCACCTCTGTGTCTGCAGTGAGACAAGTGTCTGCAGAAGGGCCTCAGGTCTGCAGCAGCGTCTACACCCTACCACCGACTGCAACGAGGACACCCCTGCTGGTGACGTCGTCACTTCAGTCCCAGCCAGCTCCAAGACAGCAGGCAGACAGATGCCGCCGACAGTGCAGGGACAGGCGACCTTCCTAGCTGCCTCTGGACGGCTGGGTGCTCGCTCCGCCTGTCGACGCCTGTCGTGGAGTAGTAAGTATAGCCCCTGACCGTGTGCACTGGCTCCAGACATGAGGCGGGTCTGCGGGGGTGACGTGCAGGCAGTGGCATGAGCCCGGCCTCTGGTTACCTCTCACTGATTCAGTACTAAAGCCACGGTCATGGGACATTCTCGCCAGCACTCTGCTTTTGCTGACTGTACCTAATTTTGGCTGCTTCTAAATTCTGAACACTACACTACTGTGACACCCTGAATTGTCTCTGTGCATGAAACAGTGATGCCAATACATAAACGTTTTCTGTCTGACGTGTAAGGTGTGGAGTGCCACCCCGTCACTGACCAGTCAGCTCTCGCCCATCACAGGGTCCCGTGGGTACTGACACTTGTTCCAAATGAGCCAGGCTGTAGCCTGACTTGGAAATCTTCCAGGAACCATGCAGCAACTGTACTTACAGAGCCAGGGTGGTGGCGACCAGCCCCACTAAACTGCCGGCCTTCAGGGAATGATTCAAGGAACACATCACCACCACGTCAACTGAATCAGCCTGACACCTGCAGAGCGGGTCTGCAGGGAGTGCACGCTCTTCACTCAAATGGGGAAAGGGAAAAAAGGCGCTCGGAAATATAGAATGTGTAAGACAGTGGGATGCCATGGCCTGCCTCTACAGAAGCTGGGGGAAGCTCGCGGTGCTGGGGGCACAGCCGGACCTGGGCGGCCGCCAGCAGCCTCGCCGATTTCTGGGTCAGTTTCAGAACTCCTCAGTGCGGGCTGCTGGGGTCTGCCCCTGAAGGAGTGACCGAGAGGACAGACAGTGCTGCTGACCCCTGTGACCTCCAGCCAAGGACCCTGAGTTTTCATGATGCATTTTAACAACTGACTTCAAACCTACTAACTTCTCTAATGTGAAGAAGACTGTGGACTCACGTTCTGCTCCACGAGCACCTCCGCGGTGTACCCTTTCTCGGACTGCAGGTACTTCTGATGAAACAGCTTCCCATCGAACAGGTGCCAGGGCATGAAGTCGGCCATCTCCCAGGGGGAGCCACAAGCACCGTTGACCAACACCAAGGTGGTGAGACCACGCACCAGGAGGGTGGCCAGCTGCACAGCTCTGGGGTCAATGTGGTCAAGCTGCAGAGGCAAGACGCAGGGAGGTGAGGAGGCAACCCTCACACGGGGAACCAGAGCTCTCCCCAGCGTGGCTGGTGGCTCAGGCACTGCGCCCACAAGGTCAGGACCACCTCTCCACACAGACGCCCTCGGGGCAGCAAAGCTCCATCCTGCAAGGAAGGTGACGGGATCGCAGCCTCAGGCCCACCGGGAAAATTTCTTTAAAAGCAAAGGCAGGAACTTCCCTGGTGGTACAGAGGCCGCCTGCCAATGCAGGGAACGTGGGTTCGATTCCTGGTCAAGGAGAGTCCACATGCTGCGGAACAACTCAGCCCGAGCCCCTCACCATGAATGAAGAAAACCTGTGCATAGCAATGAAGACCCAGCACTGCCAAAAATAAACACAAAAAGATAGCAAACTTTGCAAGGGGAAAATAAAAAAAAGGAAAGGCGGAGAGGCCAAGACAGAGTCATTCTGGATACTGATGAGTCAAGAGTTCTAACCATGAGCATTACTATAAAAATTTCACATAAATGTCTGTCATTTAAGAAGAAAATGGCTTATTATTGCACAGGGTTGATGGGCTGGTTCAGTTCAGTCACTCAGTCGTGTCCGACTCTGTGACCACTGGACTGCAGCACGCCAGGCCTCCCTGTCCATCACCAATTCCCGGAGTTTACTCAAACTCATGTCCATTGAGTCAGTGATGCCATCCAACAATCTCATCCTCTGTTGTCCCCTTCTCCTCTTGCCTTCAATCATTCCCAACATCAGGGTCTTTTCTAATGAGTCAGTTCTTTGCATCAGGTGGTCAAAGTACTGGTTTCAGCTTCAGCATCAGTCCTTCCAATCAATATTCAAGACTGATCTCTTTTAGGATGGAGTGGTTGGATCTCCTTGCAGTCCAAGGGACTCTCAAGAGTCTTCTCCAACACCACAGTTCAAAAGCATCAATTCTTCAGTGCTCAGCTTTCTTTATAGTCCAACTCTCATAAACATACATGAATACTGGGAAAACCACAGCTTTGACTAGATGGATCTTTGTTGGCAAAGATGGGCTGGTACTTCTTACAAATTAACATCACACCCATACAAAATTTTTATTTTGTTGTCAAACCTCCTTCCTATTCTTGGACACTGTGGCTCCACATGCTAAGAAGCTGCAGAGACATCCTTCGCCTCAGCCACTCGTGTTTTTGACATTTGTGGCCTGTGCTGACCATAAACAGTGAACTGACCACAAGCAAGTGTCCACAGGGTTTTGTTAATACAGGAAGTTCCACTCAGTCTGTCAGCATCAGGTGGATCTATGTTGCGCAAAATAAATAGCAGTGATTTTCAACATCACATAGCTCAAAAAACTGAAATAAACCAGGAAAAGGACTGACGTTTCATCCCTTTTCTAAGTCGTGTTTCATTTCCCTATTGAAAGAAACGTGGTTGCGATGTTGGATTGGGGTTGCACCAGGCTACCAAGCCCTCGCTGCCATCAGCACTCTGCCCCCACCACCTACTTCCAACCACGGGGTCCCGCCCTGTGTGCCCACACACGGCACTGTCCGGCTCGAAAGGCACCGCCCAGGCCAGCAGTAGGGCCCCAGGTGGGGCTTGAATTTAAGTGCAGTAAGCTTAACTGCACCGTTTCTCAGATGCCCCAGCCATTTCAAGTGTTCAGAGGCCTGCCTGACCCTGTGGGATGGTTGTGGTCTCGGGCCCCTCTCTCTCCACCGACTTCAGCCCCTGCAGTGCCCGGCCCCGAGGCGGCACTGTGGGCCCCAGGTCAGCGCACCCACCAAGGCTGCTCAAGGTCCGCTGAACCAATGCAGACATTACGTACTTACTGAGGGCTAGGGGCAATTCTCCCATGAAGTAGGCTTTCCTGTAAGAGAGTCAATTTCTTCATTTCTTATACACTTCTCTGTCACTTTTAAAGTAAATTTTAATAGAAGTACACTACCTCCCAAAGCAGAGATCCTCTGCAGACCATCTGAATTTTCAAACAAACCAGGTGACAAGCACCTGGGCCACAAAGCAAGTGTCATCAGCACCACAGAAGCCCCCAGTATCCCCACAGCCTGAAGGTGGTGCTACAGATGACTCAAGTGTGGACGGGCCTGCTCACCAGCGAGTGATGAATGAACTACAACACATGCAGGCTCGGGCTTCTCTGGGCTGAAACTGGGGTTTCTCTGGCTATTCACCCTCTGCGCTGTTACACACCACTGTGTGCAGTGCTGGGGTTTCTACACTGTTCACCCTCTGGGCTGTTACACACCACTGTGTGCAGGGCTGGGGTTTCTCTGGCTGTTGACCCTCTGCATTGTCACACACCACTGTGTGCAGGGCTGGGGTTTCTACACTGTTCACCCTCTGTGCTGTCACACACCACTGTGTGCAGGGCTGGGGTTTCTCTGGCTGTTCACCCTCTGCGCTGTTACACACCACTGTGTGAAGGGCTGGGGTTTCTCTGGTTGTTCACCCTCTGCGCTGTTACACACCACTGTGTGCATGGCTGAGGTTTCTCTGGCTGTTCACCCTCTGCGCTGTTACACACCACTGTGTGCAGGGCTGGGGTTTCTCTGGTTGCTCACCCTCAGCGCTGTTACACACCACTGTATGCAGGGCTGGGGTTTCTCTGGCTGTTCACCCTCGGTGCTGTTACACACCACTGTGTGCAGGGCTGGGGTTTCTCTGGCTGTTCACCCTCGGCGCTGTTACACACCACTGTGTGCAATGCAGGGGTTTCTACACTGTTCACCCTCTGTGCTGTTACACACCACTGTGTGCAGGGCTGGGGTTTCTCTGGCTGTTCACCCTCTACACTGTTACACACCACTGTGTGCAGGGCTGGGGTTTCTCTGGTTGTTCTCCCTCTGTGCTGTTACACACCAGTGTCTGCAAGGCTGGGGTTTCTCTGGCTGTTCACCCTCTGCGCTGTCACACACCACTGTGTGCAGGGCTGGGGTTTCTCTGGTTGTTCACCCTCTGCGCTGTCACACACCACTGTGTGCAGTGCTGGGGTTTCTCTGGTTGTTCACCCTCTGCGCTGTTACACACCACTGTGTGCATGGCTGAGGTTTCTCTGGCTGTTCACCCTCTGCGCTGTTACACACCACTGTGTGCAGGGCTGGGGTTTCTCTGGTTGCTCACCCTCAGCGCTGTTACACACCACTGTATGCAGGGCTGGGGTTTCTCTGGCTGTTCACCCTCGGCGCTGTTACACACCACTGTGTGCAGGGCTGGGGTTTCTCTGGCTGTTCACCCTCGGCGCTGTTACACACCACTGTGTGCAATGCAGGGGTTTCTACACTGTTCACCCTCTGTGCTGTTACACACCACTGTGTGCAGGGCTGGGGTTTCTCTGGCTGTTCACCCTCTACACTGTTACACACCACTGTGTGCAGGGCTGGGGTTTCTCTGGTTGTTCTCCCTCTGTGCTGTTACACACCAGTGTCTGCAAGGCTGGGGTTTCTCTGGTTGTTCACCCTCTGCGCTGTCACACACCACTGTGTGCAGGGCTGGGGTTTCTCTGGCTGTTCACCCTCTGCGCTGTCACACACCACTGTGTGCAGGGCTGGGGTTTCTCTGGCTGTTCACCCTCTGCGCTGTCACACACCACTGTGTGCAGGGCTGGGGTTTCTACACTGTTCACCCTCTGCGCTGTTACACACCACTGTGTGCAGGGCTGAGGTTTCTCTGGCTGTTCACCCTCAGCGCTGTTACACACCACTGTGTGCAGGGCTGGGGTTTCTCTGGTGGTTCACCCTCTGCGCTGTTACACACCAGTGTATGCAGGGCTGGGGTTTCTACACTGTTCACCCTCTGCGCTGTCACACACCACTGTGTGCAGGGCTGGGGTTTCTCTGGTTGTTCACCCTCTGTGCTGTCACACACCACTGTGTGCAGGGCTGGGGTTTCTACGCCATTCACCCTTTGCGCTGTTACACACCAATGTGTGCAGGGCTGGGGTTTCTCTGGTTGTTCACCCTCTGCGCTGTCACACACCACTGTGTGCAGTGCTGGGGTTTCTCTGGTTGTTCACCCTCTGCGCTGTCACACACCACTGTGTGCAGGGCTGGGGTTTCTCTGGTTGTTCACCCTCTGCGCTGTCACACACCACTGTGTGCAGTGCTGGGGTTTCTCTGGTTGTTCACCCTCTGCGCTGTTACACACCACTGTGTGCAGGGCTGGGGTTTCTCTGGCTGTTCACCCTCTGCGCTGTTACACACCACTGTGTGCAGGGCTGGGGTTTCTCTGGCTGTTCACCCTCTGCGCTGTTATACACCACTGTGTGCAGGGCTGGGGTTTCTACACTGTTCACCCTCTGCACTGTTATATCCTGCTGCATGCAGTGCTGGCTGGGGCACTCTTAGCGTGTAATCACTCTGGAGACAGTAGCACCTTTCAACAGGCAGCCTGTTCTCACACAGAAGTGCATTCTATCAACACAGCTTTATGGCTCTCAGAGTGGGATTCTGTCCAACTGCTGCTTTTCCTAAATGTTTCACATTTTTCCTTGTATGTTGGGTGTAAACACAGCAAATGTGGTGGTTAGCTTTACTTGTTTCTGTTTTTGTAGAATATACTTGAATTATGCATGTCGACTCTGCACCATCCCCTGATAAATCTGTGTAGTGAGTCTAATTGTTGCTCTGTAGATTTGGATTCCCATAAACACAATCACACCACCTGTCAATAATGACAGTTTTATTCTATTCTTTCAGTGTAAGGGAAGTTGGTGAAAGAAGGCACCCCTGACTCACGCACACCATAGTGGAAAAACTTCCACTATTTTACTATGAAGTCTGATTTCTGTTGTAGACACTCCTTCTTAGATTAAGAAAACTCTCTTCCAGTCCTAGTCTGCTGAGACTGTTCACCAGAAACAATAACTGAATTCAACCAATACTTTCTCTACAACATGCATGCTGCTAATGAAGGCAATCACACTGGTTTTCAAATGTTAAACTAAGCCTGTATTTGAAAAATAAACACTTGATTGTGTCAAAAGAGCAAAATGAAAATACGAGGCTTGAGGGCCTCTTCCAGCAACTGGGAGAGTCACACAGCAGCTCTTCTTCCCGAAAGAACCAGGATTTGGGGACAAGTTAGTGTGGCAGAAGGCTGGCCCTCAATCCCGAGTCAGAGTCTCTGGTAAGCATGGGCTAATTCCATGTGGCTAAGGTAAGGCTTCACCAATAAAATGATAAGAGGATGTGACCCACCTTTTGGAAACAGGAGTTAAGTATGTCTTCATGAAGACAGGGAGGAGCTGATTCCTGACCACTTCCTGCTGAGGTGATGGACACAGAAACCAGAAAAGCCAGTTCTACTGCTGCAAAGCCTCAGGGTGAATACTGAACAGTAAACACTCCACTGTGTGGTGTTTATCACAACTGGGGCTCATTTTGTATACACTGAAGCTGAAGCCCCTAAGTCAGCCATTTCAGGCATTGCTTCACCAGAGCGACTATCTTAAAAGCAGGTGGAAACCCAGGCAGGGAGAGGAGAGTACTGCAGACATTGGACCACTCACCAGAAAACAAAACAAGAGCAAACTCTTGAGTTTTCCTGGTCTGAAAGGCCGGCTAGGCTTTGGAAATTCTACACCGAAGTTCTCTGTGGCTGTGGTTGGGCACAACCGTCCCACACGAGCCCGAGGAGGCCTGAACCTCACCAGGCAGGCTCATGAGGAGCAGCGGCTGCTCCCAGCCCTCTGCCACAGCTTCTGAGGGCAGAAGCCACCCATCCACCGAGCTCCTCCCCTGGAGGTTTCCCATGTTGTACCTGTCCCTTCTCCTTATACTTTTCATTCCCCAAAGAAAGCTTTTATTTGCTGAAGGACACTGTCTGGCACATGCCTACCTGTGTGAGTCACACTCAGACCCTCAGACACTCTGTCTTCAACAGCGGGCACACGGGCTAGAAAATACTGCTGGCTTGAATCAAAGACTAGTATTCTCCTGGAGCCCAGCAGCTCCCTAACCTAGACATTCAAACCTCCCATCCCTGTCCGGGGCCACCCCCTGCCAGGAAACAGGATGTGACACGGTGAGAAAGCGGTGTGCACAGCAGGAGGCGGCGGCCTGGAAGCCGTGGGGCCAGTGGCAGGTGTATGAACTCCAGTCACACAGCCATGGCCTAGCACGCATCCTCAGGACAGGGAGAGCTGTGGGCCAACAGGCAGGTGTGTGAACACGCAGGAGATAGGCTCATCTGCGTGACACGTGACGAGTGTGTAGGGGAGGAAGACATGAACCATCAGAGCAGAGCCTGTGTCTGTGCCGAGGACCTGGACATGATGTGGTGGGCCCAGGATAACCATGTAATTGTGAGTGAAGAGTAACTCGCCCACGTCTGTCTGACACACGAGCCTCTGAGAACACGGTGGGGCAAACGTGTCAGCCAGGTCACTGCAGGAGGAGTGCCCACACAGTGAGTACTTTAAAAATAGCTGTTGGGTTCACATGTAAGTAAGTGACACATGAAGGCTGTGTGGGGAAACCCTGTCTGATTCTGTCTCAGAGGGAAAAAGAAATCAGATCGAGGTTTGGCTTAGCAAAGAACCCAGCAGGAACGCATCCAGAAATCTCTTCTTCCTCACAAGGCACCGGGGTAGGGCTGGGTGTGGTAAAAATGGCACCTCCATGAAGGACAGGCGCTGCCATGAGAACGCTGAGGCCTGGGCAGGCGAGTGCCTGTTACGCGGCTCCTGCCCCCAGAGAGCAAAATAAAAACCAGCTCTCCTCTGCGCGGTCCGTTCCCATCTAAGGTGACTTTTATGCTTCACCTTTAACCCAGGTAAACGCAAACTGTGTTGAGATACACTTCTAGAATTTAAATGGATACCTGCAAGGAACAAAAGGTGGAGAGGGTAAAATGAAGTAAGAGACACACTGGCAAGGGCTGCCTGTCCTAAGACTGGGCTGGCTGCTGCACCCTGAAAGATCACTAAAATACCACAGTCCCAGCAGAAACAACTGCAAGTTTTCTGAACTCACCATACGCAGCAACAAAATCTCCCCCCAGCCAAAGTCAGTGGCTGTCTCAGGCGAGCTGGGTCTACCAGGACTGACAGGCCTCCCAACCGTAACTGTCTTATCTGCAGCCTGATGGTGCAGGACACTGAGGAGGCAGCTTCTGAACACACATGACTTCCAACTTAGTCCTGACCCACGTCTGAGGTTCAGAATGGAGGACCCTGGATAATAACCAAGAAAAACAACTTCTACTGGAGTGTCTGCCCGCTTATAGAAAGAACCCAGGAACACAGGAAAGAGGAGAGCATGCAGCTTGGCCTGAGGTCGAGTGTCTTCCTCATGAAAAACGACATGAAAGAGGAACTAACTGGGGAGCAGCAAAGCCCATGCAGGTCCTGCAGCGTGAAGCCTGCCCTCCTAACCATCTCCTCGGCCCAGCTCTGACTCAGTCACCTGAACACACAGCGTCCTAGGGCTTCAGAGCGGGACTCACCTTCTCCACACCTCATCCCAGGCAGCTCTTCCAGCCTCACATGCCCCTGTCAGAAGGAAGGGTGACCTAGGGCCATGACCACTATGAGATCTTCCATTAGGTTTACAAGTAGAGAGTTGCAGAAAGGATCCAGGATTCAAAGGATGGCAAAAGGCAAATCTTTACAAGAAACACAGTAAGATCAAACCTGAACCACTAACCATAATCCCACCCTTCTCCCCCTCTCTGTAGTCACCTAAGACTTGGTCCCCATCAATAAACACATGGGGACAGGAGAAGGTAAGACCGTCAAGTTCTGACCTCTGAGTTTCAAAAGGCTCACCGCTGGGAGAACCTGAGATACCTCAGTCCTGCCCCAGGTGTGAAGAGTCTGAGCAAAGGGCTGGGCTCCAAAGTCCAGCACATGGAGCTCCGAGCTCAGAACAGCAAGTCCAGGCAGCCAGCGAGCTCCGCCTCCAGCCCTGGAGCTAAGAAGAGGCTCTGCAGGTGGGCTGGGGAGCGGGCATCCCACAGGGGCGGGGGCTGGGCAACAGGCTCCCCCAAGCACAGCGAGTAGGCCATGGCGTCTTGGGATGCCCAGCCGCCCAGCCCAGGACACATACCACAACCTACAGGAGAGCGTTCGTAAAGGAAACAAGTGAGGACGCCTCAAGCTAAGATGCTCCTGCAGATTAAAAGACACACAAAAAAGAGACGAACTACTGCGCACAAAAATAAATAGGCCACAAGGACATATTGTGCAACACAGGGAATAAAGCCAATATCTTACAGTAACTGTAAACGCTATAAATGGAGCATAACCTTTAAAACTGCGAATCACTATGGTGTGTACCTGTGACTTACATAGTATTGTACATCCACTATACCTCATAAAAACGGAAAGGAGAAAAGGGAAAAAAGGCTTCTGCACAGCAAAGGAAACCATCAACAAAATGAGAAGAAAATGCACTGAATGGTAGAAATTATTTGCAAAACATTTGTCCTTATCAAGGGGTAAATACTCAAAATACATAAATAACTCATACAACTCAATAACCAAAAAACCGAACAATCTGATTTAAATTGAGCAGAAGACCTGAATAGACCTTGTTCCAAAGAAAACATATAGATGGTCAACAAGCAAATGAAAAGATGTTCAACGCTGCTAATCATCAGAGAAATGCAGATCAAAACCACAGTGAGCTATCACCTCAGATCTGTTAGAATCATCATTAAAACGACAAGAAATAACAAATGTTGGAGAGAATGTGGAGAAAAGGGAAGCCTTATGCACTGTTGGTGGGAATATAAATTGGTGAGGTCACCGTGGAAAACAGTATGGAGGCTCTTAAAAATTAAAATAAGAAATACTATATGATCCAGTAATTCCACTCCTGGGATTTATCTGCAAAAAATGAAAATACTACCTCAAGGAGATATGCACTCCCATGTTCACTGCAGCACTATTTACAATAGCCAAGACAAGCAGGAAAACCTAAGTGTCCATCAATGGGTGCAATGGATAAAGAAATTAGCATGTGCATGTACACAGGTGTGTGCATGTACACAGGTGTGTGCATGTGCACACGCGCACACACACACACACATGACAGAATATTACTCAGCCATAAAAAAATGAAACCTTGTCATTCGTGACTACATGAATTGAGGGCATGATGCTATGGGAAATAAGTCAGAGAAAGACAAATGACACGCTTTCACTTCTATGTGGAATTTGAAAACAAAACAAAAAACAAACAAAAAAAACACAAACTCACAGATACAAAGAAGAGAGTGGTGGTTGCCAGAGGGAGGGGTAGGAGGTGGGCCAAATGGGTCAAGGGGATCAGAAGGCAACCTTTCCAGTTACGAAGTGAGTGAATCATGGAACCTTTCCTGTGAAACAACAACCAAATTTACAGAACGCTGGCTAGTATGCCGCCCCTGTGGTCAGGCGGGCCATCTCCAGGGTGTTGACAGTCAGTACCTGCAAGTCTGCAAGCTCCACGGTGGGCTTTCCTTGGAGGCACAGGGCCTGCGCAATGAAGGCATGCAAATCCTCCAGACAGAGAGTGTCCACCTGCATGGAGAGAGAGCCAGCATCAGCCCTGGAGAACACAGGCACAAACACATACGCGCACGCACGCTTGGCAGCAAAGTGTACACACACACCAGGGCTGCATGTGCACATGTACAAATGCACGCACACATACATGTGCATACACGCTCAGAGCAGCAAAGCACACACACTAGACAATGTGTGCACATGTACACACACACAGACGCGTGTACACACCCAGGACAGCAAAGTGCGCACACACAGAGAGCTGCATGTGTGCATGTACAAATGCACACACAGACACACACACGTGCATACACGCTCAGAGCAGCAAAGCACACACACCAATGTGTGCACATGCACACACACACATACACACGTACACCCAGGGGTCACACAGAGGACAGTGCATGCACATGTACACACAACACATACATGTGTACACGCTCAGGGTAGCAATGTGCACAAAGGACAGCATGTGCACACATACAAACACACACACATATCCATGCACACATACACATACATATATGCATGCTCAGGGCAGCAAAGTGCACACACACACAGGACAGCTTGTGTGCACGTACACATGCACACATGTGCATGCACATGCAAACAAACACACACGCATGCACATGTACAAACATACACACATGCATGTGAGCCCATACCATGTGTGCATACTCAGGGCAACAAAGTGCAAATAGAGGGCAGTGCATGCACACGTACACACACACAAAATACACACACACACGTGCATGCACGGTAATGGCAGCAAAATACACACATACACAGGACAGCACATGTACACACACACACAATTATACACACAGATACATGCACATGTGCACATGCTCAGGGCAGTAAAGTGCACACATATACACACACAGGACAGCATGTACCCACGTGCACACAAACATGCACACTCAGGGTGGCAAAGCATACACACACGCTCTGGACAGCACATGGGTGCACACACATACGTGTGCACATGCTCAGAGCAGCAAAGCAAACACACCTCCCTGGGGCAGCAAGGCACACACACACTCTCACATGAGCAGCCGAGCACACACACACACACACACACACACACCACACACCCAGGGCAGAAGAGACATCCCTGAAGGTAGGCGGGGTCTTTTCTCCCCTCATCCACAGCCCCTGGTGTATAAATCTTCATGTCAACCAGAGCCAGGCTGGGAAGCAGAGCCTGGTGCTCATGAGCAAGGCAGAACGCTCCAGATCGCCTGTGGGAAGCCTGAGCTATGGTCAAATCTGAGCCTTGGAGCAACGTAGGTCAAGTGTTAACACAAATTTCCAGAGACGACAATTGCGGGGTTTGCAGACAGAAAGCACCCACAGCTAGCCTGAGCTAGGGTGATCAGAGCTGGGACAAACACCCACCCTTGCAAGCCCAACTGTGTCTTTGGATCCCCATTTAAAAGAAACCAGGATTCCCCAAATATGCATCTCCTCCCATCCTTTGTGGAATCAAAAAGTCCAACCAAAGTGTGACTGAGAAGCAAGGAGAGACAAGAGACACAGAGAGAAAGAGCCTAGGTGGGTGACGCCGGGTCCCAGCAGCACCTCCACGCCCTCCTCACAGGGTCGGGGCTCAGCCACCAAATGCTGCACTGGTCCTGTCATCATCCATCTCCACCTTTATTCCAAAGTAGCTGTTGCCTTTGTATAAATGAAGCTATAATTATGTCACAGAAAAAGCAAGAAATCTACAAATGCGCAGCACTCATGACCAAGAAAAAAGATCTCAACCTACAAAAGCAAGACCAAGCAGAGAATATTTTGTTTTAAACTCATAAGCCCTCACCTCTCTCTTAGACAGGTTTGTTGGCATACAGTTAGTTCTACTTCTTGCCATTAGCATCTTTTGCAGAAAGCTGAGTTTAAAAAACCAGCCTACAAAAAAAGAATCACTATTGGACTTCCCTGGAGATCCAGTGGTTAAGACTCTGTGCTACCACTGCAGGGGACATGGGTTTGATCCCTGGTCGGGGAACTAAGATCCTGCATGCCAACAATGCAGCCAAAAAATAAAATAAAAAAAGCAACATTTCATCATACTTTTTCAGTTTATCGATTTCATACTCTTCCACCATCTTTGTAATTAGCAAATATACGCTTACTCCTTGGCAGGAAAGTTATGACCAACCTAGACAGCATATTAAAAGGCAGAGACATTACTTTGCCAATAAAGGTCCATCTAGTCAAAGCTATGGTTTTCCAGTAGTCATGTATGGATGTGAGAATTGGACTATAAAGAAAGCTGAGTGCCAAAGGACTGATGCTTTGGAACTGTGGTGTTGGAGAAGACTCCTGAGAGTCCGTTGGACAGCAGGGAGATCCAACCAGTCCATCCTAAAGGAGATCAGTCCTGAGTGTTCATTGGAAGGACTGATGTTGAAGCTGAAACTCCAATACTTTGGCCGCCTGATGTGAAGAGCTGACTCATTTGGAAAGACCCTGATGCTGGGAATGATTGAAGGCAAGAGGAGAAGAGGGTGACAGAAGATGAGATGGTTGGATGGCATCACCGACTCAATGGACATGAGTTTGGGTAAACTCCAGTAGTTGGTGATGGACAGGAAGGCCTGATGTGCTGCAGGCCACGGGGTCGCAAAGAGTCAGACATGACTGAACAACTGAACTGAACTGAACTGAACTGATAACAGAGGAGACAAAATTCTTAATAATACCAATTTTTTAAAACTTCACATAGTGGAGATTATTGTGATAAAGTATTTGCTCTACCATAATTATAAAAAATATGCAAACTTTCTATGATGCAATACCCTTCCAGAAAAGTTTCTCAAATAAGCCTCTAATAAAAAATGTTAACTTGGAGGTTGGACTCCAAGTGAAAAATGAGTTAACCAAGCTAAGACTCAAAAAGTTAACAAATGAGGGTTTTGTTTCTCTGTACGCTTTGTACACTAAACAGTATGCATTAATCCTGTGTGGCACCTAATTTAAGCTTAACTATACAAAAGTATACTATTTTAGCCTTATTAATCTAAAGAGAGAATAGTTATCCTTATGAATAACAACACAGTACAGTACCTTTTAATCTAAGGGATGACGCTGATGCATTGACTTGTTTTCTACTTTAAAAGTTCCAATTTGAATGTATCCTTTAAAGTCAACCAACAATGAGTCTATCTTTTGCTGACTTATACTAAAAAGATGTCATTTAAAAGGTATTTACTAGTAGTAAGAAGGTAAAAGTGGAAATTTTCCTTCTGATACTTGTCTAGCCTCAGGTTTATATAAATACGTGAGATGTAAAGTGACTATTCTGTGATTTGGGATATTTTCCTGCTGGAAGTGGACTGTCATAGCCAACGGTCACTTGCACAGATGACAAGAAAGCAGAGCTGTGTCAAGTGATGACGAATGGGCTCAAGGACCTATCTCTCCCGCTGGAAAAAGAAATGCAAGACGTAGTCCTAAGGGTGCTAACACAAGGGTCTCCAAGGATCCATCCATATCCCTATATTCACACACAGTCCTGAGAAGAAAACCACTTATTCTCCTAGAGGAGAAAACTCAGCTGCTCGTCATTGACCAGCTCCCAACTCCCAATATGTCCATCTTAGACGCCTGCAGATTCATAAACAAGGGAAAGAAATACATGCATGCACATTTAGTAAAAGTAGCAAAAGAAATGTATTTTTCATTTAAACATTAAATAATCCTGCTACCATTTACTGATTTATACTTTGCTGAGTTTGGTGCAAATAAAGGAAAGTTCTACTCAAAACAAAAGTTCGTCCTGGTGCATGTGAAACCAGTGAGGAGACAGTAAAATTAAAACTCACTAAGGGTGGCTTAACTACACCATGTTTGTGGTAACCACCATCCAAACAGGGACATAGGACAGTCCACGCTCTACAAAGCTGGGCAATTGTGAGAAAGTGCACCAGAGCCTGGACCTGTCAGACACCTCAAGCTTCTTTCATAGGTAGGTGTAGAGCCCACTTCTACGCTGGCAGCTGACAGGGCTCCTCAAATGTACAGCTACACAGAACCCTCACTTTTTGTGAAACAGACACTGGGCAGAGATGGGGCAGGGGACCAATCCTTACACCTCACCCCAGACCACCACACCCCCCAAAAGGTGAGGGCCAGGAGCAAGGGGTGACTGCAGCAGCAACAGCCAGGAGTGAGGTTACCTGCACAAATAGGTAGACCAGGAGGCAGCACAGTGCTTGAAAGGGGCTCTCAACTGCCTGCAGTTCTTCTCGCGAGGATGAAAGGTCAAAGCAGGCCAGGAGTGTGTCCAAGCGCTGGGCCTGGATTCCTGGCTCTTGGCTCAGCCACAGTTGTCTCAAATTAGGTGTTCCCCCTAGTTTAAAAAAAAAAGTCCATTTACCATTATTCTTTGTACTAACAAGTTATAACACGCTTCTCAGAAACAAAGTAAAGAAATAAAGGGCACTGACCTCTTTCCTGGCTGACTTCTTTGGGCTTTCACACTTAAAGCAACTGGAAAGTAAACATTAACAGAACTTCCTGGTTTAAACAAGCAGAAATCCTAAAAGGTCAGCATATATGTATTTCATTGAAAACATTCCTCTTTCTTTAAACGGCTATACTGTGCGGGAAAGGGAGGGTTTTCTCCTGCTGTGCTCAGCTGTGCTGTCCAAGGGAGTGAGACAGACACAGCTGTGATGGGCTGCTTGGTGAAAACACCACTGGTCTACTCAGGTAGTTGGCTCTCTTATTTTCCTGGACTAATGGTTTTCAAAGTACACTGTGCAAAACAAACAGCTGCCAAAATTGTGTAAGATACATTTTCCTGGGTTTTATATGCAGAAATTATGAATGAATGATTTTCACATTTTGAAATAGTCAGAAACAGCTAAATGAAAATATTTCATAGTATGAGAAAATTGCATGACTCTGCCAGAAAGGATCAAGGGTGGCACCCACACTTGACCCAGAGTCCTGCGGGCAGCTGAGATTTCATCTATAGGTCCCAAATGCATTGTTCCTGAAACATAACAGCTTCAAAAGTCAAATTATGTCACTTGGCAAAGGCTTCTGTGTGAATTCACGGACAGGAAAGTCTCAGAGCTTCTCAGAAATGAGCAAGCTCCAGAGTGCTGCCCAGAGAAACAGGGAAGGAGGTAATTTCTGTGAATGACAACTTGTTTCATTTTATAAAACAATCGTCTAAGAGGATCTGCAAGGTGCTGGTGAGTCACGTCTTTATACAGTGAAGAAATACTAAGCTTACTCTCAGATTCTTGAATGCTTTAAAAATCATTCCAGATGGACAAACTACCAGTTAGATGTGTGCAATCAGCTTTCCTAGGTTTATAAAATAAGGATATGCTTAAAATGACCAAAATGAGGCTCTGTGAAGACAGAAAAAATCAACTACATGTTGCCTAAAGAAGAATCTCCAGTTTTGGAGATAAAAAGCTATGTCAGACGCTTGCCTGCTGTGTGGTCCGAGACTTGCAGCACAAAACGCAGCATGTTAGTAAGGGAGGCAGCTGAGGATGACGCACAGACGCAGGGACCCTGTAAGGGGCAGGTCGGGGGAAAGGAAGCTAAATTTCAAGGTACACCCTTCCGAAGGCCTGTGGAAGGCAAGGATCAAGCAGCAGGAATCCACTGCTCTTAACATACATGTTGTCAGGGTGACGGAAAACCATGAGATAGGCACCTGGATGATCGAGCTTCCAAATGAGTCTAAAAACCACCTGGCATTTTTCCTCATGGACATAGAGATGATTTATATATAAAAATCCTATCATTTTCTATCGTTATTAACATAAGTGTGAACAGAGCCATACATCTGAATCACCTGCAACACAAGTTCAAGACCCCACTTCCAAGGTCCTAGTGCTGGCTGACGCGTGCCCGCCCTCTGCCGGTGGGTGGGGCTCCCGCTGCTTCTGGAAGCACAGGCCCCGTGTGCAGAGCTCAGCAGTGCCAGCAGCCCGTGTCACAAGCCTCAGAAGCAGCCTCTCCAACAACTGAGTGAACTTCAGAGTTTATTAAAACCTTATATCGAGTGGCCTCTAAAATTAATTCATGATATAATAATGAAAGGCCAAATATGGGAAGTGATTTTGGGTATTCTTTAAAAGTACTTCTTGCTGTAAAATGTGTCAATTCATCTTAAATTGTTTTTGTGATAAGTACCTTTAGGTTTGAAATACTGAAATACTAATATTTAGGTTTAAGTATATATCACTTACCAACTGAGAGAATAAGGAAATACTCCCTCAACTTCTCTCCTTGTACAATTCCACTTATAATGTTTCTTATTTGGTAAATTATAGGCTTGAGTGACAGAACACAATAGTGACTTGAGAGAATTTAAAGCATATAAAAATGGAACATAAATATTTTGGAGAAGTATTTGTTTTGTGAAACAATAAGAAAGGCCACTAAAATAAACCCTAAACTCTGTCCTCTCTTCAAGTGTCTGTGTGCAGAACACTGTCTCCTACAGTCAAACATGCTTGACCTTCAGATACTAAGAACTCACAGGAAGAATTTACTTCAACTAATTTTTAGGAGAACTCTGTTTTCTCCCCTCCCACTATGTGTTTTAAGATATGGCCCTTGAAAAAAACTTATTTTTACAGTTAAACACTTTCTTTCACCTCCTCTTCCCAGATCATCAAGCCCACTTTCAATTGTGGCCTTGAATCTAGATTATTCTTGTCTTGAAGCAAGACAAGAATCGACCCAAGCAGAGCAGCAAGAATCCAACTGTGCTAATTCACAGCTGCTTACTCAGGGGTCCAGGTTTCCTTCTCCCCCTGACGGGACCTTGGGCAGCAGGCAGGGGAGTGAGGCAGGGTGATTCAGCAGACTGGGGCTGGGGAGGTCTGTATAATGCCCTTTCCTCTGCTGTATTAGAACTTCATTAGGTACACTGCTCCTGGACCCATGGTAGAAATGAAAATCAGTGTGTGTGCAGTGCTGGAAAAGTATGTTTCCACAGAGATCATTATTGCATCATGTGGTGAACAACTCTGACATTTAACCAAGGCAGTCTGTACCTGGAATGTTCATCTGCAGAGGCCTGACGAGGTCCGGCTGCCTCAGTGGGTTCCCGGAGTACACAAACCACTCCTTGACAGCGGGGCCCGTGCTGAAACCACCTGAGTGAAGACAGCTGCATCAGTGGACGTGCGTACCGATCCATCACCGACACTGCGCGAGAGCCCCTCGGCCAGACCGGTTCCACGCTGGAGAGCCCAGTGAGTTCTCACGTCAAAGGTCACCGAGGGGCCTCGGGCACCCACCAGTGGGTCTCTACCCTCTGATCGGATGGTCATCCATCCATTCCCACCAGAACGATGACCTTGGGTGGGGGGTGGCAGGACAACCTGGGTAGGTGATCACTGAGGGCAGAGGTGACCTCTTGGTCACCACCGAGACGGCTCCTGTAGCATCCTGCTTTCCTTCCCCACCACCCTCATGCCGTTCCAGAGAACATTTAAGGAGCAGGAATATGACAGTCCTTTCTGCTTTTAAATTCACTACTTTACACAACTATTAAAATTAGTGTTATGTCAGACAAATAAGAAAGCTGGTAGGAATAATCTAGAATAAAGGCACTTCTGTCTATTGCTAGATTACTAACTGCTACAGAAGTTCAGGTGGCCCAGTCAGCTGCAGTGCTCCACTCAGCCGCACACTCACCGTGCCCTTCCTCACCTCTGCGTTTGGCCACGCTCTGCTCTGCTCCCGCTCCCCTCCACCACTCCCCCAGCCCGCCGCAGACGCCCACCTCCTGTGCCCACACTTGGCGAGCCCCCTTTCCTCCCTCTCAGCTGAGCCTCCCATGCTCCCCAAACACTGCAGCTCACTCAGCCAGAACTCTGGCTGGAGTCCCGAAAAACTGAGCTCCCTAGAGCAAAAACCACTCTCCATAAAACACAAGGCCCAGAGGAAATGCTCATTAACTGCAGGTTTAGGAGCAAGTGCCTAAATTTCATACACACAGAAATAATTTAAAAAAAGAAAGAAGATGTGAGTATTCTTAATGTTGTTAAAAATAAAACAACCCAATTTCTATGTAACCCTCTTGGCCAAGGTTTTCATTGCATTAAAAAATAGCCAACTGAGTGAATGCTGCCCTGCTCATGCCAAGAGACAAATGTTACTAGGTTCTGTACTCCTACTCAACCACTGCTATTAAGGGACCTAGCCTGCCAAGTGGCTCCTTGGGAATCACTAAAACATTCACAAAGCCACATCTGACGTTGCATGGAAGTGACCACCTTTTACCTAAGACTGTTCACAGCGCAGAGGCTCAGAGGCGATGTCTCAGAGCTTTAGCTCTAAGTGACGCACACGAGAGAGGGAGGCTCAGGGTGGGCGCCTGAGCCTAAATGCATCCGGCAGCCCTCCTAGCTCTCCGCTGTCAGGGCCGAGGGGAGCAGTTTTTGGACCGATATTCCAAGAGACACACAACACCATCTCAGTTCAATTCAGTCGCTCAGTCATGTCTGACTCCTTGCGACCCCATGGACTGCAGCACCCCAGGCCTCCCTGTCCATCACCAACTCCCGAAGCTTGCTCAAACTCATGTCCACTGAGTCTGTGATGCCATCCAACCATCTCATCCTCTGTCGTCCCCTTCTCCTCCTGCCCTCAATCTTTCCCAGCATCAGTACTCCCAATGAATATTCAGGACTGATTTCCCTTAGGATTAACTGGTTTGATCTCCTTGAAGTCCAAGGAACCCTCAAGAGTCTTTTCCAACACCACAGTTCAAAAGCATCAATTCTTCAGCGCTCAGCTTCCTGAATGGTCCAACCCTCACATCAGTACATGACTACTACAAAAACCATAGTTTTGACTAGACAGATCTTTGTCAGCTAAGTAATGTCTCTGCTTTTTATTATGCTGTCTAGGTTGGTCATAGCTTTTCTTCCAATAAAAAAGTGTTTTTGATTTCAGTCAGCATCTGCAGTGATTTTGGAGCAAAAGAAAATAAAGTCTGTCACTGTTTCCATTGTTCCCCCATCTATTTGCCAGGAAGTGATGGGACTGGATGCCATGATTTTCGTTTTTTGAATGCTGAGTTTTAAGCCAGCTTTTTCACTCCCTCTTTCACTTTCATCAAGAAACTCTTTAGTTCCTCTTCACTTTCTGTGACAAGGGTGGTGTCATCTGTACATCTGAGGTTATTGATATTTCTCCCAGCAATCTGATTCCAGCTTGTGCTTCATCCAGTCCAGCATTTCTCATGACGTATTCTGCATATAAGTTAAATAAGCAAGGTGACAATGTACAACCATGATGTACTCCTTTCCCAATTTTGAATCAGCCCTTTGTTCCATGCCCAGTTCTAACAGTTGCTTCTTGACCTGCATACAGACTTCTCAGGAGGCAGGTAAGCTGGTACGGTATTCCCATCTCTCTAAGAATTTTGCACATCTTGTTGTGATCCAAACAGCTAAAGGTTTTAGCATAGTCAATGAAGAAGAGGTAGATGTTTTTCTGGAATTCTCTTGCTTTTTCTATGATCCAATGGATGCTGGCAATTTGATCTCTGGTTCCTCTGCCATTTCTAAATCCAGCTTGAACATCTGGAAGTTCTCGGTTAACATAATATTGAAGCCTCGCTTGGAGAATTTTGAGCATTACTTTGCTAGCATGTGAGATAACTGTGTGGTAGTTTGAATGTCCTTTGGCATTTGGGATAGGAATGAAAACTGACCTTTTCCAGTCCTGTGGCCATTGCTGAGTTTTCCAAATTTGCTGGCATATTGAGTGCAGCCCTTTCACAGAATCATCTTTTAGGACTTGAAATAGCTCAGTTGGAATTCCATCACCTCCACTACCTTTGTTTGTAGTGATGTTTCCTAAGGCCCACTTGACTTCACACTCCAGGATGTCTGGCTCGAGGTGAGTGATCACACCATCATGGTTATCTGGGTCATTAAGATCTGTTTTTGTATAGTTCTGTGTATTCTTGCCACCTCTTCTTAATATCTTCTGCTTCTGTTAGGTCCATACCATTTCTGTCCTTTATTGTGCCCATCTTTGCATGAAATGTTCCCTTGGTATCTCTAGGTTTCTTGACGAGATCTCTAGTCTTTCCCATTCTATTATTTTTCTCTATTTCTTTGCATTGACCACTTAGGAAGGCTTTCTTACCTCTCCTTGCTATTCTTTGGAACTCAGCATTCAGATGGATTTATCTTTCCCTTTTCTCCTTTGCCTTTCACTTCTCTTCTTTTCTTAGCTATCTGTACGGCCTCCACGTACAACCATTTTGCATTTATGCATTTTTTCTTCTTGGGGATGGTTTTGATCACCGCCTCCTGTACAATGTTACAAACCTCTGTCCATAGTTCTTCAGACACTCTATCTATCAGACCTAATCCCTTGAATCTATTTGCTACTTCCTCTGTATAATCATAAGGGATTTGATTTAGGTCATACTTGAAATGGTCTAGTGGTTTTCCCTACTTTCTTCAATTTAAGACTGAACTTGGCAATAAGGAGCTCATGATCTGAGCCACAGTCAGCTCCTGTTCTTGTTTTTGCTGACTGTGTAGAGCTTCTCCATCTTCGTCTGCAAAGAACATAAACAATCAGATTTCAGTGTTGACAATCTTGTGCTGTCCATGTGTACAGTTGTATCTTGTGTTGTTGGAAGAGGGTGTTTGCTCTGACCAGTGCGTTCTCTTGGGAAAACTCTATTAGCCTTTGCTCTGCTTCATTTTGTACCCCAAAGCCAAACTTGCCCATTACTTCAGGTATCTCTTGACTCCCTACTTTTGCATTCCAGTCCCCTATGATGAAAAGAACATCTTTTTTTGGTGTTAGTTCTAGAAGGTATTGTAGGTCTTCACAGAACCATTCACCTTCAGCTTCTTTGACATTAGTGATTGGGGCATAGACTTGGATTACTGTGATATCGAATGATTTGCCTTGGAAACGAACAGAGATTATTCTGTCGTTTTTGAGACTGCCCCTAAGTACTGAGTTTTGGTCTCTTGTTGACTATGAGGGCTACTCCACTTCTTCTAAGGGATTCTTGCCCACAGTAGTAGATATAATGGTCATCTGAATGAAATTCGCCCATTCCGGTCCATTTTAGTTCACAGATTCCTAAAATGTTGATGTTCACTCTGGCCATGTCCTGTTTGACCACTTCCAATTTACCTTGATTCCCGGACCTAACATTCCAGGTTCCTATGAAGTATTGTCCTCTACAACTTTGGGGCTGGTACTTCTATCACCAGTCACATCCACAACTGGGCATTGTTTTTGCTTTGGCTCAGCCTCTTCATTCTCTCTGGATTTATTTCTCCACTCTTCTCCAGTTGCATATCGGGCACCTACTGACCAGTGGAATTCATCTTTCAGTGTCAAACCTTTTTGCCTTTTCATGGGGTTCTCAAGGCAAGAATACTGAAGTGGTTTGCCATTCCCTTCTCTGGGGGACTACGTTTACTCAGAACTCTCCACCATGACCCGTCCATCCTGGGGGGCCCTGCATGGCATGGCTCATAGTTCCACTGAGTTAGGCAAGGCACCTCACCTTATCTGCCCAGCTACAATCCAAGAGGACGGCGCTGCCCGTGGAGATGAGCCCAGCAGGAGCGGCAGGCCTAGCGGAGAAAATAGGCTCAAGACCAGCACCGACACCAGGACCTCTTCTCTCAAAGTTTAGACCAGCACATAAGCCTGATCCCCTCCTTCCTCACTGTGCAGACCAGCGCTGACGCCAAACTCCCTCTTTTCTCCATAACTTGGACAACAGAGGGTTTATTTTCTTGGGCTCCAAAATCGCTGCAGATGGTGACTGCAGTCATGAAATTAAAAGACATTTGCTCCTTGGAAGGAAAGTTATGACCAACTAGACAGCATATTAAAAAGCAGAGACATTACTTTGCCAACAAAGGTCTGTCTAGTCAAAGCTATGGTTTTTCCAGTGGTCATGCATGGGTGTGAGAGTTGGACCATAAAGGAAGTTGAATATGGAAGAATTGATGCTTTTGAACTGTGGTGTTGAAAAAGACTCTTGAGAGTCCCTTGGACTGCAGGAAGATCCAATCAGTCCATCCTAAAGGAGATCAGTTCTGAATATTCATTGGAAGGACTGATGCTGAAGCTGAAACTCCAATACTCTGGCCAC